AGAATTTTATTCTTATATTGTAAATTAATATTTAGAAAAAATACATAAATATATTAAGAATTAACTTTTTAATCCCTTTAAGATATAATTTCCTGTTTTCCTGCAGGAAAAAAATAGTTTTAAGATCTATTTGCAAGAAAGTGAATAAAATTTCCTTTTTATTACAAAAATCTATTTAGTTACGCGCATATGTTGTGACATGTGTGTATAGAATTTTCTATTTTTTATTTCGTTTAATTGAATTTTTATTTTCCGTATATCAAAAAAAAGAGGAAAAAATCAATAAAAAGTTATAGTTAACTTTCAAAATTTTGTAAATGTTTATATAAAAATATCTCTTCTCTTTTTGAGTTATATAGAGAAAATTGAATATAGAAGGAGAGAGTAAATAGAAAATACTTTCACCTTTCAAAAGTCAAAGCTTTTAATATAAAATCTATTCTTCGATTTCAATTTAAATTGAGAATTGTTCATTGCACTATATTTAGACAGAAAATTAATCGTCATAAAACGAAATAAACTCTTTTTAAATTGATACCCTTAAAGTGAAAAAATAAATTTACCTGAATCTTTGTTTATTATTTTATCTATTTTTATGTTTATCTCTATTTTTATTATGTTTTTATTACATTTGTTTATGTTTTTTATATTTTTTATTGTATTTTTTATATTTGCTATTATATTTTAATTATATTTTTATTCTATTTTTATTATATTTTTATTATATTTGATCCTAAAATTTTATTAAATTTTCATTATATTTTTACAATAAAATTAATTCTAATTCAAATTATTTAATTTTTTTCCTAACAAAATAAGTGAAAATAATCACCCAGAAAAATGTTTTATTCAATACAAATGCAATTTATTTGAGTAAAATAAAAGGGTGTTTGTCACAGAGCCCACAAAATTATTTATTTGTTTTAAGAATAAAAATTTTATTTCGTACGAATACAATTTTTATTGATACCAAATAAAATTTATATACTTCTACGCAAACGAAAATTTATTTGAAATGAACAAAAATTTATTTATACCAAACAAAAATTTATTTGTACCAAACAAAAATTTGTTTGAACTAAACAAAAATTTATTTGAACTGAACAAAAATTTTTTTAAACCTAAATAATATTTATTCGAAACAGAAAAATAATTTAATAAACTAAGTCAAATATATTTTTTCTGGGTGTAAAATTTTTTAACTTGGTAAAATAATTTTTAACGACTTTGTAAAACAATTTGTGACGAATTTCGTTATGAATGTAAATAATTCACAAAATTTCAAAATCAATTGAAAAAAAAAAGAAATGTTCTTCAAGAGAAAAAAAATTCTTAATTCCCCCCTAAGTTCCAAAAGTGATTATATTTACAGAAACACTTTACTACTGAGATATTAAATATCATAGAATACGTCGAGTAAAAATAATCACAGAAAAGTGAGTTTAATTGAACGCACTTTTAATATAACCCTCTTAATACTTTTTTCGGATGAGGGGGACCACATCGAAAATAGCAAATATTACTTGTCTCACATTACCCGCATTCGTATCTTCTTACTCTCTATATATGTTGCTCGCGCCCCTGTTTGACTTGAATTTACTGCACTCTCTCTCCTTTTCTCGAAAATCGAAAGTACATTCGAGCCTGTTTAACTTGCTGTTATATTTTCTTAGTAATTCTAATACTAAGTATTGGATCTATTTATATATATATACACACATTTTCTGTATATATATAAAATGTGTGTGTGCATAAGTGGAGCAGATTTTTGCAAGGAACAACTTTTGACCACCCCCAAAATGGAAAAGCAATGTAACGTCAATCCCAAAACTTTAGCATGACCGATCTAATGATCCTGAACAATAGGGATGAAACGTACATTGAATGGACCACATATGGGGGTGGTAAAATGGACTCCTGATTTTCTTTCATCTCATCTAGCATCAGGACTTGCAAAACTATATATATATTGTATATCTACACATTGTGTTGAAAAGTCATCCACATTAATGAAAAGTCAACAATATTGTTATACGTCAGCTTTGAAAAATACATCTTTCCCTTCCCTTTTTTTTGAAAGCAAAGTGCTTTTATATATAAATATCAAGAAATCTGAATCCGCACCTGCATTATATTAAATAAAAAGTAAAATAGCTACATTAAAATAAATATCCCTTGTATTTTTTATAAATGAAAATAATATTCACTCTACTGTTTAAAATTTACGTATTTTGTCATTATTTTTTATTTTTCGATTTTTTTTTTTAATTATGATCTTTAGTATAAAAAGGTATAATTTTTTTATGTTTATCTTTAATATTTTATTTATATGATATAATAGTGTACTATATTATATTATATATACTGCTATATTATGCATTTTAAGAATTTGATATTCTAAAATTATACACGATATGATTTTTATTCCTTCTTTATTATTTTATACAAGCTCCATAAAAATAATTTTCATATTTCGAATGTGAGACATTTTTTTACGATTAATTAAAAAAAAAAGTCATCTTAATGGTTTTTCTATATATTTTCGAAATGGATTTCGAAAAAAAAACTTTTTCTCATTCACCGAAAATTAAAAAAGTTTTCTGGGTTATAACCATCATTAGGTGGAAAGAAAAAGTTTTTCTTTCGGAAATATTTATAATACAGAGAGCAAAAAAAAGTGTAATATAACTATTATATGATAATTTTGCGATACATTGAATATTATTACTTGGCAAAAGAAAAAGTAAAATAAAAATAAAAGCAGAACTGGAATTTAACGAGAGGAGTAGAAAAAGAATTTAGCTTCACTTATTAATGTAATTTTTATACTCAACTAGAATTTCTTTTATAGTCTCCAAATTCGATTCAGTTGGAAATAAAATAACTAATTATTATTTAAATTCACTTTATTATATTAATTAAAAATTAATCATTAATAGTTATTTTATTAAAAATTGCAATTGGGAAAAAATCAATTAATACTTTAATTATATATAAACCTACAAGTTTCTATAATTTATTCAATTCTTCAATTATTTAATTATTTAATTAATTAACTGTTAATTATTTAATTAACTGTTAGGTAATTTAATTTTTGTATTTAATCATTCAATTAACTTCATTAATTAAATTAAATTAATTATTTTATTAATTCAATAAATCCAATTTTTTGCAATTAAATTCATTACTTTAATAATGTAATTAATCATATGCTAATTTAATGAAATTAATTTTTTTAATAATTTACTTGACACTAACAAAAAGTATAAAATGTAACAAAAAACACAAAATACATGGAAATATTCAAGTACTTTTACACCCTGTTTAAAAGAAACATTTTTTTTTTGCAGTGCTGTTGCAGAAAAATAAGTTTTTCAAACAAGGGTAAAAGAACCTTTTTTATAGAAAAAATAAATAAAAGAGAACAACATAGTGACACAAAAATATAAATATTAAAATAATTAAATATGCACTGGAACTCCAGTTTTAGAGAAACACATTCGCAACAAAAAATAACGATTATTTCAGTACCGGCTTTAGGGCAATGTGAAACAATAAGCTCGCAGAGGGCGTCTTGCATTGGAAGACGCCGTAATTATACGCAATGGCTGTGAGAAAACTTTTTTCTCCGTTCGGGGGAGGGATGCCATTGTATTTTCCACACACAACGCAAAAGTGATTAAAGCCGGCACTTCCTCATTTCTCTACCTACCCCTAGCTATATCTCTAAACGCGGAATCAATCTCAATCACACTTATAGACAATTTACCCCCCAGCCTACACCTAAAAATTCCTAAATTTTATTTACAAAATGAAAAAATTAAAAAAAAATTTATTTCTCTTTATGCAAATAAAATACATTCACTCTACGATCATCTTTCATACCGCCAAGGTGCAAAAAGCCTGCACTAGAGATAAAGGGCACGTTAGGCTCACCATACGTCCCGGGACGCATCCGCCACCTTAGCTCAAAAATCACTCAAAAAAAGGAAAACAAAATTCCTGAAATAAAATACTAAATTAAATCTTTCAATGCCATTTGTGAAAAAATCAACTTTTCACTAATAATTAAATAAAAAATTAACTAATCAAATAAAATACATAAATAAAAAATTGTCATTTATTCAACAATTGAATAAAATATTAAATACTTGCAAACGAAAATACAATCGAATGAAGCAGTAAGTAATTTTAATAAATAGTTTTAAACAGCAAATAATTAGTAATTGAATATAAATGTAATATTTTGAACTCGAAAAATATATATTGTAAAGAATTCTAAAATTAATAAGTTAATACTTGAGATAATAAATAAAAAATTTACTACTTTTAATAAACTCGACATAAAAGAAAAAGTTACTTGCATTAGTTATGTTATTGAAAAATGGTAAAGCAAAGTAAAGCAAAATGGCATTGAAAAGTAAACAATTCAAATGACAAACATATATAAACGACAAAAGATACATTGACAATAATATTATTTACGTAGTAACTAAAAAATTCTACAAAATAATAAAATTTGTCAATGCTGTCACTATGTTGTTTTTGTTCCTTCCCTGTTTTTCAAAAATTTACTAGTTACTTTTAAACAATGCGATATTTAATTATTGAGAATATTTAAGAAGCAAATAAAAAATTTAAAAGATTAAAGTTATGCTAAGAAAATTAATTTTGAATTTATAAGTTAATTTAATTGTAATTGTCTTGTTGAATAAAGAGAAGTATGTATATATTTATTATGCAGTAAGTAATAGCTAAGTAAACTAAATTAACTATTAATTTAAAAAAAATAATAAATAAAAAATAAATAGTAAAAAATTTTAACAATTTTGTCAAGAAAAATTAATTTCTAATTAATTTCTCAATTAAATAATAATAATTTTTATTAATCAATTTGATTTCAATTATATTTTTAGGAAACAAAAGAGACTCAATTATCTATGGCAACAAGGAAGGAATTAATTTGAAAAAAATTTAAACGTTAAGAAAGTATTAACAACCATTGACTTATCAAACGGCGAGTCCCACGTTGGTCGATGGATGCTCCGACATCGCGCCTCCTCTTCGTTGAAAAATGAGTTGTGAGTAAATCCAAAAAATCCTTACACGGTAAATGAGTGTGTTTACCGGGTCTCGTTATATTTGAACAAATCCTTTTTTTCCTCTAGGTTATTACTTGAATATATTGACGATATGAACTGAAAGTAAAAAGAAATAAGTCTTCGATAAAAAAATAAAAACAGTTTAGAAAAACAATTAAATATAATAAATTTGCAAATTATTTAATTCGTTTTTAGATTCACACTTGAATCCATTTTAAAATTATGACTGTAAAATTATGTTAAAAATCTCCAGTCGATACTAAAACAAAACACACTTTTAGGTTAGAAAATGACAATTCGAACTTCGAAATTATTTAAACTCCACAAATGTTACGAATTTGATTCATAATTCAATGAAAGTAATAATTAACAATTATCAATCATGCAGTTAATAAAAAAATTACAATTGATAATCTTATGTCTTAACAACAATTGTTGATTTCAATCTGCGGTCGACAGTAAAAAGTAAACACACTTTTAGGTTAGAAAATGACAATTCGAACTTCGAAATTATTTATACTCCACGAATATTACGAACTTGATTCAGAATTCAATGAAAGTAATAATTATCAATCATGCAGTAAATAAAATAACTTGCAATTGATAATCTTATGTATTAACAATTGTTACTATTTACTTGTAACGCTTATAACAAATAATCACAAATGCAATGACACAATAATTGAATAAATGTACGATTGTCATATTTTATGTTATGATATTGGCAACCCTGCCACCTAAATTGTAAATAATTTTATAAAATTTATTTCAACGATTTACGAAATAAATGATAATATCAATATTAATTTCTATTATTATTATTATTCATTTTTCTAGTAATATTTCTATATTTTATTTTCATAAGATTAAATAATAATCATATTTACCTTATTTGTATCTGTAAAAATTCATTCATTTCTTTCACTGTCATTGTAATGTTGAAAAAGTTTCACTTGTTCCAGTTCCATATATTTAAATAAATCAGAGCTAACTTTACTTTAAATTGTACGAAAAAATATTTATTTCGTAACACACAAGTTTACTAATTATCGAAATAATTGCTATGAAATGCAAAGAATCTAAAGAAACAGCTGAGATTTACAGCAGACTAAAATTGGAACAGCGCCGCCAATCAGCAAGCAGCGTAAATAATTGAAAAAGTGATGAAAAAAATTTCTTCGAGCTGCGCAGATTCTCCGTCGTGTAGCGCCATATGCGAACTGCCGCAACAGTGCAAAAACGTCCAGTATTTATACGGTTGGAGGTGAAGACTCCTTGCGCTCTCTGATTGGCTGCGCCGTCTTTATCCCCAACCACGTAAATACGGGACGTTTTCGCACTGTTGCAGCAGTTCGCATTTGGCGCTACACGACGGAGGATCTGCGCAACTCGAAGAAATTTTTTTTCATGACCTTCGCTATTATCTGCTGCTTCCTGATTGGCTGCGCTGTCCTGATTCCTAATTACGATGAATATGAACAGTTTCTTTTCACTCCTTGCAGTTTGCTGTAATTATTTCGATAATTAATATATATCTGTGCAACTGGAAAAGATTATTTTTCTGGATCTTTTTACTAAATGCAAATATTTATTGATTATTGTTACAGAGTGTCGAATTCGAAAGATTGGAGTGATCTGGCAGTCGTAGAGTCTCTTTTTCTAATAAATATGGTAAGAATTCACTATTTTTAAAATATTATTTCAGTTTTTTATTAAAATGAGTTTTAAATAAATAAAGTACGCAAGAGAATAACAATTTCAGGTTTTAATGTCTGTATTCGTCAACCGCGCACTGGTTCCCGTCTTTACCGACAGAAAAGTAACTAGACGCCATTTTTTTACTGTTTCAGCAGCAGAACAAAGATGGCGCTTTACAACGGAGAATCTGTGCACTGCGCAAGCATAACAAAGCAAATTTTTTTATTTGTTGTGTTGCTTGCTGACTTGCTGTGATGTTTTAACTTCAAAATGTGGTAAATATCTATTTTCCTGCAGTTTTTGCATTCACAGTAATTATTTCAATGATTAATGTACCTGTGGCACTTAACTTTTCAGATTCATTGTGGAGATCAACACCATCGCTGTGTCAAAGTAACAAACCGGAGAAATGACAATTTAATCAATTGCAATCATGTCAGTGGAAGAAATAAACAAATGTTCACGAATCTAAACCATCGAAACAAAAGGTAAATCTTATAGGTATTATTATTTATTTTATGAATCGTAGAATAAATACCAATGAACAATCGAAACCATTGCAGTTTAAATGAAAATAAAATTCTGAAAAATACGCTTTATATTTTATGGATGTAAAAATCGAAATATAATTACTATTTATATTCAAAATAATCAATAATTTTATTGCAATTTAATTTTATTTCATTTTTTCGTAATTTTTAATTCAGCTTTTAAATTATGTATCAAATTCGTTAATTTTCGAGGTTAAAATTTTGTTTTCCATTTTCTAACCTAAAAATTTGTTTTTCTGTTGTTGACCGGATCGTATGAAATATTAAAGATATAATTTAGGAAAGATTGAAATGTTCGATACATTATTATCGTCAATTATCATTTTAAATTATTATTATTGTTTATAATATATGAGTAGAATCATTTTTGTTCCATTTAATAATTTAACAATTGATATGTTTTAACCGAAAGGAATATTTTAGCAACAAGTTTACTGTTATTACAATTTAATAATTAGGGTAGCCACAAGTTTCAATTTATCAATTTCCCTGACAATTTACTAACATTAAAAAATGTTAATATTTTTGGAAATATGTAATTTTAAAAAATTAAAAGCTTATTTTCATTTTAAAATTTACCTTTAAAGCTTTTTCATTAAAATTTTTGATAATTCAATTATTTTTAAAATTTGCAATTAAAATTCTACAAAATTTGGTTTTCAAAAATTATAACAAAATACTTAAAATAAATTAATTATTTTCAATTATATTTTATAAAATTTTAACTATTCAAAAATGATTTTTGAAGGATTTATTTACAATTATTTTTTGCATTATAAAAATCAATATAAGTTTCACTTTTTTACTAAAAATTGTCTTATTTTGTTGCAATGTTTGGAAGAAAAGTCAAAAAAATCTCAATTTTCTTAATTTTCTTGACAAACAATTTTTTCATGACATTTGCCTGACTTAACTGACAAAAATTTTGTTTTAATCTTAATATCATGGAAATTTTATCATTTATCACCTGAAAATCATAGATAAATCATGGAATTTTATAAGGAGAAATTTTTAGGAACCCTGATAATATATTATTTGTATGCTTCTTGTGCACTTCTTAATAATAATAATTTAATACTTTTATTAACATTCGAATTTTTTGTAGGTTCAGTTTATGGATAATTGAAGGAGAGTTGCGATAAAATTTCAATTTATGGAATTTAACCAAATTCCTCACTATCCTTCATTACCTTCAATCTTGCAGTGCATCTGTCAAGTCACTGACATTGAAAACCTTCAACATGTCTCACCTGCGAGAAATTTTTTTCCTTATTGATATTGGATACCTAGGACAAGAAAAATTACAATGCTGCCATCGTATCTCTTTATAACAAGGCGATTATTACAGATGGTGAGTTTATACTTTGAATAAATCTCACAGAAATTTTAACTTTCTTCACGAAAGTAAATAATATTATTTAAACTTTCAAATTTATTTTGTTTATTTCTTTACTTTCAATTAGTTTCAAAGAGTTTAATTTTTTTATTAATTAATGTTAATAAAAATTATTTTAACTAAATTTATTTAGATAATATTTTTTTTTTTTTATTTAGTTAATAATTAATTTTTATTTTATTGACATAGTTAATAATTCATTTTTGTTTAATTTATTCAGTTCATAATTAATTTTTATTTTATTGATGCAGTTAATATTTTATTTTTGTTTAATTTATTTAGTTAATAATTAATTTTTATTTAATTATTGTAGTTAATATTTAATTTTTGTTTAATTATTATTTATTTTTCGTTTTGAGTCCACATTGGAAGAAGAACCTAAAAAGGAAAAACAGAAAGGATGTGGACAAAGGAAAGGACACCCGGCTCACCCAGAAGTGTATTCACCGTGCAGGGATCTTCTGCAGGGACCCACCACTGATTTTGCTGTAGAGGAGGCGCGATCGCACAGCATCCATCGTCCAACGTGGGACTCGCCGTTTAAACGTCAGCGATTTTTAAATTAATCCCTTCCCTGTTTTAATTAACGATTGAGTCACTTCTGTTTAATCAAGAAGACAATTGCAATTAAATTAACTCATAAATTTAAAATTAATTTTCTTGATACAATTTTTAAATTTTTTATTTGCTTCTTAAATATTCTCAATAATTAAATATCGCATTGTTTAAAAGTAACTAGTAAATTTTTGAAAAACAGGGAAGGAGCAAAAACAACATAGTGACAGCATTGACAAATTTTATTATTTTGTAGAATTTTCAGTTACTACGTAAATAATATTATTGTCAATGTATCTTTTGTCGTTTGTATATGTTTGTCATTTGAATTGTTTACTTTTCAATGCCATTTTGCTTTACTTTGCTTTATCATTTTTCAATAACATAACTAATGCAAGTAACTTTTTCTTTTATGTCGAGTTTATTAAAAGTATAGTAAATTTTTTAGTTATCTCAAGTATTAACTTATTAATTTTAGAATTCTTTACAATATATATTTTTCGAGTTCAAAATATTACATTTTTATTCAATTACTAATTATTTGCTGTTTAAAACTATTTATTAAAATTACTCTTTGCTTCATTCGATTGTATTTTTGTCTTCAAGTATAAGTATTTAATGTTTTATTCAATTGTTGGTTTGATTAGTTAATTTATTATTTAATTATTAGTGAAAAGTTGATTTTTTCACAAATGGCATTGAAAGATTTAATTTAGTATTTTATTTTCAGGAATTTTGTTTTCCTTTTTTTGAGTGATTTTTGAGCTAAGGTGGCGGATGCGTCCCGGGACGTATGGTGAGCCTAACGTGCCCTTTATCCCTAGTGTAGGCTCTTTGCACCTTGGCGGTATGAAAGATGATCGTAGAGTGAATGTATTTTATTTGCATAAAGAGAAATAAATTTTTTTAATTTTTTCATTTTGTAAATAAAATTTAGGAATTTTCAGGTATAGGGTGGGGGGTAAATTGTCTATAAGTGTGATTGAGATTGATTCCGCGTTTAGAGATATAGCTAGGGGTAGGTAGAGAAATGAGGAAGTGCCGGCTTTAATCACTTTTGCGTTGTGTGTGGAAAATACAATGGCATCCCTCCCCCGAACGGAGAAAAAAGTTTTCTCACAGCCATTGCGTATAATTACGGCGTCTTCCAATGCAAGACGCCCTCTGCGAGCTTATTGTTTCACATTGCCCTAAAGCCGGTACTGAAATAATCGTTATTTTTTGTTGCGAATGTGTTTCTCTAAAACTGGAGTTCCAGTGCATATTTAATTATTTTAATATTTATATTTTTGTGTCACTATGTTGTTCTCTTTTATTTATTTTTTTCTATAAAAAAGGTTCTTTTACCCTTGTTTGAAAAACTTATTTTTTCTGCAACAGCACTGCAAAAAAAAATGTTTCTTTTAAACAGGGTGTAAAAGTACTTGAATATTTCCATGCATTTTGTGTTTTTTTTGTTCATTTTACATTTTTCAGCAAGTTTGAAAATATTTTTTCTACAATATTAACGAGTGGAAAATGTCAATTTTGCTGATTAGATTGAATAATTTGCATTGTAATAATTGCAATTTCGTGATTTGATTTTGTGTGAGTAATTGGTTTACTTTGACATTTACTCTGAAAGTGCATTGGAAAAGTAATTTATTTGATTCAAAAAGCCGATTAATTGACTGTTATTAATTAAATATTTACTTGAATCAATTAATATTTATTGAAGTCAATTAAACGGTATATTTGAATCAATAATTTCAGTATTTGAAGCAAATACCATTTAATTGACTCCAATAAATATTATTTGATTCAATTAATTATTTAATTGATAATAATCATTCAATCGGTTATTTGAATCAAATAAATTTTGTTTCAGTGTATTATTTTCTTTTATTTTTTATTGTTTTTAATTGTTTTTAATTCCTTATAAATTGTTTTAGTTGCTGAAAACAGCAGAGGTGCTGTCAAAACATTTAATTCTTATTTCCATTTTTTCGACTTGGAAATATTAATTCCTTCCTTTATTTACGCAAATTGATATATTTTCCTAATTATTTAAAAGTGAGTTTAATTTATTTTTTTAAATAACTATTTTATAGATTAAAAAGGTTGCTTTAATTAATCTATTCACCTATTAAACCTACTGAGTTACTTATTTATAATTTCTATACAATTTAGAAATTTGTAAGTAACAGACCATAAAAAGAAAACTAATTAATTAATTAATTAAAAATTAATTAAATTTTAAAAGAGTTGCGTTTACAATTTTCATAAATAGATAAACTTTAAAAAATTTTAATTTGAAATTTTATAAAGTTTCAATTTTGAATGAATTTAATTAGAATTTTTAAAGAACTTACATTTTTGAAAAATTTTAATAATTCAAATTATTTTGAAATTAGTTAAATTTTTATTATGTGTTTAATTAATTATTTAAACTAATGGATTCATAGAATAATTTTAGTTAAAAAACACTATAAAAATTGAATTTTGGAGAAGTTAGAAATGATTGGAGAAATTCAATTATTTTCGAAAGTAATAAAATTCTTCGCAGATATTCAATTATGTTTAAAAATTTGTAAAAATTCTCGTTAAAATTTCCATTATCTTTATAAATAATAAAATTCTTTTCTGAAATTCAATTATTTTCAAAAATTTTTAATAAAAATCTTGGCAAAATTTCAATTATTTTCAAAAATTTTCCTCAATTCAATGAATTTTAATATCTACTATTTTAATAAAATTTTCCTAAATAATTCAATTATTCAAAAACTTTTGTATTTAAATAATTGAATTCTCGTAGAATTTTCTAATATACTGAAAAAAAAATTTAATTGGTTCAAATAACCGATTAATTGACAATTATCAATTAAATATTTAATTGAATCAAATAATATTTATTGAAGTCAATTTTAAACGGTATATTTGAATCAATAATTTCAGTATTTGAAGCAAATACCATTTAATTGACTCCAATAAATATTATTTGATTCAATTAAATATTTAATTGATAATAGTCAATTAATCGGTTATTTGAATCAATTAAATTTTTTTTTCAGTTTAGAAATTGAATTAAAGATAAATTTCATTTAAAATTTTAGATAATAATTGAATATTAAAAGCATTATAGTGTGAATTTTTAGAAATAATTGAATTTTGAAAGGTTTCAAATTAAAATCTTTGAAATTAATTAAATTATGTTCATAAGTAATATTTTTTATAGGAATTTAATTATTTTTTTAAAAAATAAAATTCGTTGCAAGAATTCAATTATTTTTATAAATAATAAAATTCATCGCAGAATTTCAATTATTTTTGATGCAATTATAATTGAATTTCTCAAAAAATGTAATTATTCTTAAAAATTTTATTAAAATTTGTCGAAAGAATTTAATTATTTAAAACTTTGTTGATAACATTCTTTATGAGAATTCAATGTTAAGGAACATTTAATTAGTCAATAAATAATTTATTTTTATATTTAAATAATTGAATTCTCGTAGAATTCGCTTTTATTCGCCTTTAGAGAGGTAGAGAGGGTAAAATTTTGCAAAAAAGGACGTAGTTTCTGAACGATCCCTTATTATTATGGGTAATAATTATAATATACTTCTTATTATAATTATTATAATTAATCAACTATTATTATAATTTTTTTAATAATTATTAATTCTACATTTAAAATCTAAAGAATTATATCTCCTTTTATACATCACACCTGGTATATAATGTAGAAAAATTTAAAAATGTTAAGTATAGTGAAAAATCTAAAGTGGAAAAAGTATTAACACTATAAAATTTCAAGACATTCCGTCACGGTGAACATTTTTATTACGCTACAATAAATACGTGTAAAAATGTGTGTGTGTATAAATATGTGTATTCGCGTTTCCATGAATTTACAGTTGGCAAGAAAAGACGTGCCGTGGGCGAACAAGAAATCCACGCGTTTTCATACAAAAAGCACACATATATACCTACTCTTTTTAACTCGATTCGCTATATTAGAAGTAAAAGCATGTATAAACGCGAGGTAGTTTAGAAAAAGGGAGAAAAAGAAGAAAATGGGGATATGGGGATATGGGAAAAGGAGGGAAAGAAGAAAGAAAGAAAGAAAGAAAAAATGAAAGAAGAAGAAGAAGAAGAAGAGTCAACTTTGGCCACAAGAATCGACCTCTTCTCTCTCTCTCTCTCTCCTTCTTTTTTTTTCTTTTTTGATCCCTTGTACCCATTTCTCTGCGCATCAGAGATCTCCTGAGAATAGGCCACAGGGTACATACATACGTATATATACCTTGACGGAAAAAGATACGCAGATAGCAAAACACAAAGGAATGGAATCACTAACAATGACTCAACAATGAAA